GGTAACAGATCTGAAGACCCTGATATTGTAGTTATATTTAATTGCAATTTTATTATTATCTCTGGTAACAGAAGTAGAGAGGAGTAAGAGATTTTATGTAAACATTTTTAAACATTAGTCTTTCCCTTTCCTTTTCCTGAGTGTAGACAAGTCCCCTTGCACTTCTCTACCCTCAGGGAGATGTGCAGCATGTGTGTCAATCAGTGTCACACTTGACCATTTTTTCAGAGGGTCTCTTTTGAAATGTTATCAGTAAAGCCGGGCTTACACTGTGCCATTTTTTTTTTTTGCCCTTTTCGGGGCAACTTTCCTGTCGTGCGAGAATGTTCGGATCGGGCCGACTTTCAGCCTGATCCTGCGTCGTGTTGTATACATGGGTAATGAAGGGCGATCAGCCTCTCACGATCACCTCTGATCAGGAATTGTGAGGTCGGGAGAAAATCAAACAGGTTTGATTTTCAGTCAACCGTTTTGGGCAAATGCTCAGAGGGCATGCTCAAACAAGGACTCTTCTTCTTCTTCTTCCTCTCAGACGAACCACAGAAAACACAGGAACATGGCGGGGGTGCAGGCGAAATGAAGTTATTTCTGTAAAATTGACAGACCGTAGTAGCCACGTTTGCTCAGCAATGTCTTTGTCCAAATATGTCGTCGCCTTTTCTTTTTAGGGCTTTCAGCACAAAATTGCACAAATTGCCAAGGCAGCAAGTTCCACTCTAGTGAGCTTCATATTCCTCTTCTACTCATTTTGCATGCGGATAGACGAGTCCGAGTAGTGCCATCTCACTGTGGAGCTGAGTCCGACGTGGTTTTTAGACATACAGTGTGAGCAGGTAGATCGCATCTACATAAATAAATTTTGAGCTGTGAACTCAAAATCGCACAATGTATGTCCGGCTTAAGGTATGGAGAAACATCAGCAACAGTCCTGACTGGACTTGTTCAAAAAACCTGAGGCCGTTCTGTAGGCCGCCCTGACCGAGACCGAGGGAGGACTGCGTAAAAATGAGGTCAATACCAAAGACCAAGACTTTGGGGAGTGGTGGTTTAGTGGTCAGGGCATTGTGCTTGGAATCCTGAGTTTCTGAGTTCAAGCCCCACTCCCACAGACTGCCACTCTGGGTCCCTGAGCAAAGACCCTTAACCCCCACACTGCTCCCCTGGCGTTGCACAGTGGCAGCCCACTGATCCCCAAGGGGATGGGTTAAACGCAGTAAGTTCATTTCGTTACTCTGTACTTGTGAAAGTGTAATGGCAATAAAATGCTGGAAAAGTCACATAATCACACCAGTCTGTGTTTGATCTCTCTAACTGATTCTACTGTTTGAAATACTTTTCAATAATGGAAAAGAAAAAGACGAGACCAAGAATCTTAAAACATGGTCTCGAGACCCAGACGGATCTGGGGTACTATGACACTACCAGACACTAAATAAGAAGAATGGTTTTCCCAGCTGCCCCTAGAGTGAAGAAAAGGCAGCTGTTGGACAGAGTGTTCATGTTCTTCTTCTTTCCTCTGCTACAGATGTCAGAGAGTTTACCTCTTGAGCAAACACTGTTTCCTTAGGATCTCTGCCACATTAACCCATGTTGTATAAATGTTCAAAGCTTTGATCCCAATTGATTAGTTGTGCAATGGACCCAGGAAGGTTCTCCTAGGAAATCAAATATCCTGACCTTTTTTTTTTGGTTCATTCTTGAAGGATCGTGTGTCAAATATTAAGCTCTTGGCGAGCTTGAAACATGGAAAGTTATTTTCACACCGTGTGACTCATTGTTTAAAACACAGGCCAAGGTTGTCTGGTAACACAGCCAAACATGTCTGTCTATCAGATCACCTCCGCTACCTGTTTCTCCTCTGGACCTTTTACAGAAACGAAAAGCTAGATTTGGAGCCCAGAAATCCCTGAAGCAGGATTGTGCTTCAGGAATGCCACATGGAGCTGCTGCGTGCAGCAACAGGCGGGACTCTGTTTGAGCTGAGTAATCATTCTGGCTGTAAATTACTGGGGGGATTTGGTCACTACTTTTCCAGCTCAGGACTGTGGTAATGATAAACTAGGGCAAGGAGTATTTCATTAAACCAGTCAGCTTAAAAATGCTCCTAACAGAGAGAGAGACTAAGAATATAAGAGAGAAGCTTAACAACTCTACTTTCTTGATTACTGGTTAGTATTAAAACACGTCAGTGTCGTATATTTCTTAAAAGTGAACTGTATTGTGTATACAGGTGTGTGATGATCAAGTGCCCAGTTTCATTTACATTTTTCCCAATAATTTGGGTTTTCATGACATGTAAGGTAGGGTTGTCAAAAGTATCGATATTCAAAAAAGTATTGATACTGAAACGTTGTATCCGGATACAATACTCGTTTTTAAAAGTATCGATACAGTGCCACCACCAGTGACAACTAAGCAGTCATTCATCTAAAGTGCAGAATGGAGGACAATGCACTTTCTGAACACTGTGTGATTGAATAATTCTGTGCACTTTTCAGTTTCAGAGTTTTTTTTTGTAACAGGTGCAGCTGCTGAGAATTATTTTTGTTTCTTAACCGGTTTGGCTAGTGTCATTGTTATGTGTGCAAAGCATAGCCAAGGAAGGAACACTTAATTTTAATTTATCAAGCTTGCTTAATATTGTGCACAGCATACAACCTTTATTGTATTTATTTATTGTATTTTATTTATTAATGGAAATATTTCTGTAGAATTTTGGAGTCTTTGTTTTTATCCTTGTGGTATCAAAAATGGTATCGAGTACCGAATATTTTCCTTAGTATCAGTATCGAGTTGAAAAGTTTAGTATCGTGACAACCCTAATGTAAGGTGTAGTTACAGAATTACACCAGTCTGTGCCTGATCTCTTACTGATTCTAAAGACTTCAGAATCAGAAATATTTTAATAATCCCAGAGGGAAATTACTTTTGTTACACACTCAAGTTACAGTTTTACATGATATATACACACATCCAACTATACAATATAATAAAGATAAAAAAAATAAGAATAAAAAGAGATAAAATATATATACACATCTAGCTCTTCTTTATATATATCTGTACGTATATATATGCATATGTAAAAACTAAATCCAAATAAAGTGAAAAGTGCAATTAAAGTGATAAATCCAAGTAAAGTGGCATGCAAAAATAGTGCATAAATGTCAATTACGGGGTGGGGGGGGCTGAATCACTTGAGGGAGGCGTTATAGAGATTGATGACCACAGGTAGGAATGATTTCCTGTGGCGCTCTGTGGTGCATCTGGTTAGGAGGAGTCTTTCCACTTATATTCCAGCTTATTGAGATGCAATCAGATGGACGCTGTATCCTGAATATTTTCTGTGCAATTCTGCACGTTTCTTTTGTCCCTATTTAAAATATCTATGAAAAACTAAAGTTTTAGACATCAATTAGCTTAGCAGCTGTTGAAAAAGGCCTTTTCTTCTCTAACATGTCTTATACTTTGCAGCTCTCACATGTCCACGCCCACTGTGGCACATTCCATTGTAATAACTATAATCGTAAAGACATTAAAGCTAAAAACGGTGATTATAAACTCTTTTCGCCAACATAATTTGAGTTTACGTGTACCTTCATTCAAATCTATAAAATACATTATTTTATTTACTTCCTTGCCATTCTTTTAACTTCTTGGGTCATTTTTTGACTCATCGGTATTTACTTAAGAAGTGATAAAAATCATTAACAGACCCTCTGAAAGGGTTTTAATTGCATAGTACATTAGAGCTTTTGCCTTTATCAACTCAATTATTTATGAAATAGCTTTTTTTTTTTTAACTAGAGGGCTTTTGAGAACCATTGATCAACCTATTTCTGCCTTTTATTTCGCCTTGTTTTTTTCACTCTTCGACTATTCAGTTGTGCAGACAACTGTGCTTGTGCTTGTGTTTGTTTGTGTGGTTGATGCAGCATCATTACTGAGGTTGGCGGTGAGGCGAAACATCACTGAGGGAGCATCTCTCTCTGTTCCACAGAACTCACACAGACTGTATTGCTTCTGGCCCCGGATAAAAAGTTTCAAGGTTCCGATAAAAACATTGACTTTACTCAGAAACGATAGATTTTTCACAGCTGCTTGAACTGAAACTCAGCTTTTTCTGATTCGTTGGAAGTTTCCTGGTAATGATTTTCGTTTGTGTTTCAGATGTGGAAGTTGGAATGAGTTTGGGCCTTTTTATGACTAGCCATTGGATAGACATGTGGGAAAAACAGACTCTTCTCTCTCTGCACTAAGAAAACGTAGCATATCTCATGTTCAGCTCTCTTGTAGATCAAACACATTTTTAATCGGGAATATTTCTAACTGCTCCTTCCGCCTCCTGTTGATTTCATTGAGAAGCAGACATAACAGCTACTAATGACTGAATTAACAGGAAATACTGTGTTAAACACAGTACAGAAAGATGGTGTCCTTGTGAAAAACATCACGTTTATTCACAACTAAAGCAAAGTCCTGAAGAAGACATCTTATTTTATCAGAACTACATTCAACTTTTATATTTTTATGTTTCCATTTCTCTTTATGATTTCTGCATCAGCTGCACCTTAATGCAGCATAAAAAGTTATGCTTTAATGCTTTAATATGCCAACATATTTGCAGTACAGAACTTTTTCCTTCAAATTTAAAGAAAAACAGTTTAGTTGCAACTTTAAACCTGTGAAATTTAGCTTTTTCTTAATTGGATTGAACAATGATGAAAACAGACCCCCAGGGATTTATTTACATTGCAAATGATAAAAAAAGAGCCCAATAACAAGTAGATGGGTTTATTTCACTGTGCTGTAGACCTTTTTAGGGGTTGAGCTTCTAAAGTATCCCTGATTTCTGAACGGTTTTGTTACAGTAGATGAACATACAGTCTTGATTTTCGGACATTCCTCATAGAGACCTGATCAGATAGCCTGGCATGGATACCTAAAAGCAAGTTATGATATATACGTTGAGTATTGGGTGTTTTTACTGAGTTATGTCTTTCTGTTATTAAAGGTTACTGAAGCGGGGAAAAATGAGAAACTCTCTGTTTTTGATCTGCATTTTTCTGTGCTGCTGGTCGACACATGGGGAAGTCTTCACCTCCATCGGTAGGTTATAGTCACTTTATTTCTTTTTTTTCTATTCTGATGGCTATTTTAAATGTTAAGTATTTATTCCTGTTTGCCTTTTTTGCTCATACCTCCTCTTAAAAATATTTTAACTTTATTTTAGGATTATTATAATTGGTGAAAGGTTTGAAGAAAACCCCCTTTTCGAAAAAGATTTTTTTTTCTTTTTGTGAAGAAACAGATATTTGATTAATAGATTAATTAAACAAATGTATCAATTAGGCAAACAATCTCAGTCGATGGCCCGCAACACGTCCATGAATTATACATGCAGTTTTTAATGGCACAAGCTGTTTCCTGCTTGTTATTTGGGATCTTGAGATCAGGCATTTGTTTTAAGTAAGCTTAGATTAGAAAATACCAGTTTGTTTTAAAAGATACATAATTCTAAATACCAGCTGCTTAATGTGAAGTAATCTCTTCATGTCATTTTAAAATAAGATTAAACTCCTATTAAAAAATGGTTTATACCTCCCTTCTGTTTTTTGTGTTTACTTTAGTTTATCGACATACGTCTGTAATTTGTTAACCTGTTGGATGAAAGAGTATATTGTCCAATGTGCATTTGCTCTTCTCTGATTTATTACACTGCTTGCATTTATTCCCCTCTTGCTTTCTCCTCCTTAAGTTAGTCAGACTCGCATGCCTCGCTGATATATTCACTACAGTCCTAAGAGGGTTATGGATTAATTTGGGCTGTGGTTTGCTTAATATTCCTACACTGTCACAGCTGTACAGTATCAAAGGTTGGATTTATTTCACAAACCAGTAAAACAATTTGACCAAAAGGAAAGTCGTTAAAAAAGGATAAAGACATCTAAAACTGGATGAAGCAGGTCATCTTTCCCTTAATCCTAAAGACAAAGCGATGATGGTATATTAAGTTGTTTTTACACCGACTGACCAAGAATGTATTTCTCTTTTTTACTCTGTAGGTCAAATGACTGATTTGATCTACACAGAGAAGGAGCTGGTCCAGTCTCTGAGGGAATACATCAAAGCTGAGGAGTCAAAGCTGGAAGCGGTCAAAAGGTACCTCATAAACTGACTTAAAAATTACCCTCTGAATCTAGTAGTTCAGAAGGTAATGTACTACAAGTTTTTAATTTTTTAATTTTAAGAAGAAAGTTCCTTTTTTTTTTTTAATGGTATTAAAGTGCTCACATTTATAAAACCTCACCAGTTTAAGTTATGTTACAACCTCCAACCTGAACGTATTAAAATGTATTTTTTTCTCTGGTAGACCGACAAAAAGTCTTATCTTAAATAATATGATATTTTGTTTTTATTTACTTATGCAGGAAATCCAGTACAACATTATGACCAACATTAATTTGTTAATAATTACATTTGATCTGAGTGTAATTACAGCTGAGATTACGGCAGAATATTTAAATATATTTAAATAAAAACACCACCTTATCTAGTACGGGTGACAGGTTTTAAACGGCCTATTAGCAAACTAAAACACAAAGCTCATGCTGTGTACAAACTGCAAAATGGCGAAATACTGAGACTAATCAACCAATAAGGATCAGGCTGCTTTGCATCCTCCCACTACAAAGCCTCATCTTTAGTTCTTCAGTCTGACCTGTGCCTGGTTTTTACAGTGGAGTAACAATGGGGGGAGCTTTCCTTTAAAAGGATCCTTAAGGCTCCAACAGTGGAAAAGAACATCAGGACTAAACTGTGTCCCTAAACTCACAGGTTAGTCAAAGAGAGCATTATTTAGAGAAGCTACCAAAGGACTGATGTTAACTTAGGAAGAGGTCATGAGAGATGCGCACTTCAGCTGGAGCGTCTTTCTAAATGAGAGCAGTTGATCATCTATAGGGCCCTATAAAACCCTTTTTATTTTTTCCCAAATGCCGATTTATTTTTTCCCAAATTCCATTTTTTCCGTTTCAATTTTTGCAAATTCAGTTTTTTTTACCCTTTACTGTTATTTCAGTTGTAAAAAGAATGTTCTTTTAATGTGAATGATTAAAATGTACACAAATAAAATAGGAATGACCTTAAATTTATTGAGGTAAAAAAAACACATCTACTCAGTACTTTTACTGCATGATGCAACATAACGCTGCACTCTAAGTACTAACAAAATATTAATGGTTATGAACCAATGGTTATAAAAAAAAAGTGCTCCATTAGCTTTTTCAAGTAAAAAAATAAAATAGGACCTCTCATTTTCAGAATTATAAAGTATTTCATAAAGAATCATATTTTCTATACAGTACATTAAACTGCATAAAAAACAAGGCAAAATACAGCAAGTATGTAAGCAAGTGTTTCTCAACTTTTTCGCCGAAAGCGGAGCTGTAGAGAGCCGCTTCGCCATTTTTTCAATGTTTTGATGGGGAAGGGTGAGTGGAAATGACAGAGCGGGGGATGCAAATCTGTGTCACCCAGATTTGCATCCTCCAGTGTGCATTTCCCCCTGATATACGTTCTTCTCTCACACAAAAACAGAATTTCATGTCAAATGTAGAAATTCCGCGTTTACACGAGATTCTGGGTTAATTTGCCAATTCCGCGATTCCGTGATCGCGGAAATTATAGGGCCCTACATCTACTCCGCGTATCTTCAGTTTATTAACGAGGGAAGAAAACCAACATTAGTTGATTTGTTGTCATTGGGTATAAACGAAAGAACAGGAAAATCCTGGTGACCTGAAACCTACGGAAATTAGATCACCCAGAAATGGATTTTTCAAGTGTCAAAAGTTTTTGCTTTTCCAGATTTATTACGGAATGTACCGTATTTTCACGAC